GGGGAGGGAGGGGAAAAATGAGGAGCTGATACCAAGGGCTCAAGTAGGAAGCAAATGTTTTGAGAATGATGATGGCAACAAATGTACAAATGTGCTTGACACAGTGGAGTATGGATTGTGATAAGAGTTGTGCGAGCACCCAATAAAATGATTTAAAAAAAAAGGATACTTAACATTTTAATTTTTCTGCTATGAAAATACACAGTGCACTATTTTTGGCTTGAAATGTTTTTCTCTCTGTTACACACTGAATGTTCATGTGATACAGCATTGATTACCACTCCAATTCCAAATAGGTTAGAGTTCATTGTTAATTTTTGAACCACTTAAAACCACCTCTGGATTTCTGGTCTTAACAAATCTCTAGCTGCCTTATTTTCTTTCATCTTTAAAAACTCAATAACCGTTTGTTTCTTGAATCCAGGAACTCCGGGAGCTGGTGTTACGATACCGGGAGAACATCATCAGTGTGAGGACTGCAGCAGACCACGTGGAAGAAAAGCTGAAGGCTGAAATACTTTTCCTAAAAGAGCAGATCCAAGCAGAGCAGTGTTTAAAGGAGAACCTGGAAGAAACTCTGCAGTTAGAGATAGAAAACTGCAAGGAGGAGATAGGTGAAGATAAAGGAGATGGGGTTTTGAATTGGAGATGCTAAAAAAAAGGCCCTCTTTGGTTGTGGGCATAGAACATGTGAAACAGAAAAGGACAAAAAGAAGTGGCGATTCTGTACATGTGTCTAAGCATTTTGATAGACCAGTGAATGGGAGTTTATAAAAAGCAATTTAAAAAAACTTCAACACCGACCCCCACCCACCCACTATATTTTAGCTAGTCTGATTGGCAGTTGCTGATTGGAAGCTCAGTATCTGATCTTAGACCACTGGGGACACACACTTCATTGTGCCAACAGACTTCTGTTGAGACTCTTCCCCAACAGCGTTGATGTGGACAGTTGACCGCAGTGGTAGTTGATGACAGTATTCTCGGGGACTCGCTTTACCTGGGCTGGATAATGATGTTGATTGGTTGGACCTAATTTTGAGGAAGAGGTGTTTTACGAAGGAAAAAAATTACTAATCCCAAATAGAAATGAATGGTAATACTTACTTCCTTTCTCTTTCAGCTTCCATTTCTAGCCTTAAAGCTGAGTTAGAAAGAATGAAAGTAGAAAAAGGACAGGTGAGTTAACATGCCTTTCTTATCAACTCTGGTGATTTGTTGGCTCCTCCTGTGCTGCACCCAAGGCAGGGGCCTTCAAGGAACTTGTTTAGCATATGCCACTCCTAAGGTGGGCAGTTCAAGTGGGATAAGGATGTGGTGGAGATAAGAGACCATTGCATTTATTGGCCATCTGCTCTTTGTTAGCTGGGTGTTGGTTACAGGAGGAATGGGGAAGGTGAGGATATGGCTATAGTCTTGAGCTTGCATATGTCAAGGGAAGGTGGGTGCAAGGCATGGTCATGGTCATGGCAGGATATATTCCAGCTACCAGAGAAACAAGTTGCAGGCACCTCTATAAATGGGTTTTCTCTTTGGCCCCGAGCTTCTCTTCAGCATCAGCACCTTTGGTGGATGATCCAATGACTTATGTCTGCACTCTGCCCTTCTCACACTTTGCCATACCTCACCCCACCTCTGACATCTGACTTCAGCTTGACACTCCTGACCACCCAGTTAATTCTTAATTCTATAGGTGTCATTTGTCTCGACACCGCATTCAGACTTGTATTTTTCTGAACGTTTCCTTTTTCCCCATTTTGCATCTCTTGATGGCAGCGCCCTTTCCTACTTAGCCTGTGAGATAGTTTATTGTGCCAGCCTGGCCGATAAACACAAGTGGGATTAACTGGAGGACGGAGAGATACATGGCTTGGTGGGCCTCACCTTTCTTGTCTCTCACTCTTTGATCATCGGACCAGTGTGCGGCTGCCTTGCTTGTTCTGTGCCTCAATTTAAAGGCTACACTGCCTGTGGGACGCCTAGCCTGTGGACTGGGTCGATGTAAGTTGAGGTCCCTTTAAGACATCGCTGGAGCTGGGGACTGGCAGTTGGGACTGGTGGTTTGTTGACAGTTGGTGATCTGCCTTGTGGTTGGCTGCTGTGCTGATAGCCTCGCTCTCTCTATATAGAGGGAGGTCTGGCAGCAGATGACTTGAAGGACTGCTAGTCTCTCACAACTCTCTCTCATGGGAGTGAAATGCACTGAGCCATTTGTAGTGCTTTATAATTTAACTGTTCATTTCTTGTATATTTATCTGCATATGATTCAACAGTTCATTTCTTGTTATATATCCAATTATCTTTATAAGTAAATATATTAAATTATTAGCAATTTGGTTTTCTCTCTCTGGAGAACCCTGTCTAACACAGGCTGCATCTTGGATGGCATGCATCTTCTGCTAGTCTCCCACCAATAACATAAAGTCACCTGATAACGTGTCCTCTGGTTGCCCTTGCACACGACCTGCTCAGCCCTGGATTATGTATGAATCCTGGTGTCCAGCTTCTCTGCCTCAGGCCACTGCTTACTCAATTGGCCCCCAGGTGCTCCTCAGCTAGCCTCCCTTGTCCATGTTTGGCTCTTTCCTGTTCTCTCCAGTGGCTGTTTCAGACACGTGAAACTCCCCTCACGCCCTCACCCGCAGCAGCTGCTGACCTTCCTGCCTCAGTCAGAAACCATCAGGCAGAACCTCCTTCAACGTCCTGGCTCAATTTACTTGTTTACCTACATACTTTTTCTTCCTGATCCACTCTTTTTATTGTTTTTCAGGGAGATGACCTATTGTGACGAGTGCATTTCTCTGCACAAATTCTTCTCCTGAACCCTTTTCCCCATCTTTCCAAGGCATCCTCAGTCATCCCTTCTTGTCCCGAGTCTGGAACTTCTTCTTTATCGGTCTTTTCCAATATAAACATGCTCAGATGTCTCCCATTAGAGGAGATGGACTGTCCTCTCTTAAGCCACCTATCTTCTTTGTCCCCTTTATAACCCATTCCTTGTACCACTGTTGTAAACGCGCCTTGTCCTTTGTACTGCTGCTCCGTGTGGGTTCAAGCTGAAATACGTCCACTCTGTAAGCACTGCAGATTTGACTGTGGCACAATCTGGTTGAAAACCGAGTGGTTCCCTGTATCGACAGGATGAAGTCCATCTTGGCTCAGCAGCTCTCCTCCTCCTCCTCACTGCCTCTCCAGCCTCAACACCCAGGGCCTTAACACTGCTGTGTGCAAGCAGGACTAGAATATACGTATCCATAAAAATTAGTGTGCTTTAGGCCAGAGGTTCCCCAACTCTCAGCAACTAAAACCTTTTGTGCTATAGCCCATAATTTGGGATAAAGTGTAGGCATCTGCTTTCGTAACTAGGCCCCCCCCCCCTTCACTGTTCCAGTACCCCCAGGGGGTAGCATCACCCACTAAGGGAAATGCTTTCAGTGAAAATTTATAGAGAGTAAATCTCCCATTTCGGTAGTTTGTGCACATAGCATTCCATGGCATGGTTGCATCCCCCAGTGTGCCCACTATCCCCATTTCAGCCTCGAATCTCTCCACCACCCACCCCCTGCCCCCTTTCTCAGCTTTGCTTTTGGACAAAATGATGTCCTTTTGAACTCTTCTAATTGATTGCTCTATGGAACATTCCTGTCAGGTGTTACTGTTCATTTTATGGGCCTGACTGAAAGCTCATCTCTGGGAATGGCTTCTGTTCCTGGTCAGAAGGGTGTCTTAGGACCCATAGCCTCAGGGGTTGCTTGACTCCCCGTCAGAGTAGATCTGGTCTTTTTTGTGAATTTGAATATTTGTTTTCTATTTTCTCCCACTCTGGCCGGGGCCTTCTGTTGTGATCCCCTTCTGAGCAGTCAACCATCTAGTTCCTTTGTTCTTTGGGTCATGGAGGTTTTGGTTCATGTGGTCCACTGATCCTTTTGACGTATTGCTTGCTCCCTTGAGTCTTTGAGTTTCTTAACTGTTTTGCGCTGGATGGGAAGCAGCCAATGGTTGTATCTTGAATGACCACCTCACAAGGCCAAGATTCCAGATGGTACTGCCCCAGGGTAGGATGCAGGAGACTGTCTTCACCTCGGTTGTGCCAGTTGATGGAGATGTTCTCCACGTCTGTTCACCACATACCTTGACATTCCTGCACACACCGCCTATTTCCTCTTAGGAGTGCCTCTCTGCAGTGTCCCCCTTACGGTCCATATTTTGTTCCTTGTGAAACTTCCTATTTTGAGAGACAAGTGCCATCTCTTATAGGAAGCTATTCTTAACTTTTCAGGCAAAAGTAAAGATTTCCTCCATATTGATAGGCTATGATACTTTATGTATCTCTCAGTTTCTGTATCCCCAGGCCTTGGAACATAATAGATGTTTAAGAAATAGTTATTCAAAGAAAGAAAAGATCTTGGAAGATGATCCACAGAGCTTAAGGGAGCCAAGATGCCAAACATAGCTCAGGCTAGGAAGGACCTGAAGACGTGGGCATGTCTGTTTTTCTCTAGTCTCAATTCCTCTGGGCACTGCTAGGGCCTGGAGGGGCATTCTGTGGGTTTCAGCCTTTGCCTTCATTTCACAGTTGGAGTCCACTTTAAAAGAGAAGTCTGAACAGCTTGAGAGCCTTCAGGAGACGAAAGTCACGTTGGAAGAACAGCTGAAAAGAGAGACTGCTACTAAGGTGATATTTTGGTTGGTAACGTAATTCACAGCAGTGCTAAGAATGCACGGTCATCACCCACCTCACAAAACTCAATCAAAGACAGAATTGTGGGGAAATTGAGGCTTTTCTTAACTATTTCTCTTAACTAGCTGTGTGACTGACTGTGGGCCAGCCTCTTCCAGGCCTGGGTCATGGTTTATTTCTCTGTAAGATGGGTCATAGCTTCTTGCCTGTTTAGTGCCACACTCTGAAAGGCTGTAGAAAGAAAATATTGCATTTATCTTGTTAGAGCTGGATCAAGACAACAGGTCTGGAGGGCTGTCATGGGCCCTCCTGGCTTTAGATGGTGGTCAAAAGGGCCACCAAGCCCAGCTTGAGCACTTCCCAGAGCCTAGAAGCATGCTTTGAAAATGCCAATCCCTGTAACTCTGTACCAGATCATCTGAATGTTAAACCAAATTTGCCTACATTTTGCTTAGTCCACTGGGAATAAAAGTGGGCATGGCTAGTTGTGGGAGAAGTTTCCTGGATGAGTTTCCTCAGTGAGTTGTGTGGTCACCCTTCCAGTGCAGGCCGACAGCTGGTGGAGTTCAGTAGCCACGAGGCTACCAGACAGGCCCGCTGCGGCGATCCCTCCATTAGGAAGATCAGAGTTGGGGCCCTCTGGTGTGTGCTCACTGAGGATTTTCCTGCTGGATGGTTACCTGAGGGGATCATTTTGAGGATGAGTCACTTTCCTCCAGCTGCCAGGGCCATGCAGCACTTGAATCCATTCTCCCTCTGACTTTCCCATCAACTCATTGTGGGACTTAGAGCAAGTAGCCGAACCAACTTGCACGCTTGCCGTATGGATGACAGGAGACAAGTAGGTCTGGGTTTCTCAGAAAATCCAACATGAATCCTCACTCAAACTTGTATCTTTTAGGTTACTGTGGAACAACTGATGTTTGAGGAGAAGAACAAGGCTCAGCGACTGCAAACAGAATTAGATGTCAGTGAGCAAGTCCAGAGAGATTTTGTAAAGCTTTCCCAGACACTTCAGGTGAGGCAAGAGGAACCTCTCCACAGACCACTAAGGCACCCTCAGGGAGCTTGCTACCCAGTGGCAGCTTGCCAGTCCTTGGCTTGCCCACTAACAGTAGCTGGAGGTTTCCAGGCTGCCCTTGCTCCCACCCAAACATCTGCCTAGCCAGTCAAGCCAGAAACTTAGTACAAACTTAACTCCTCGTATCCTTTCCCCCTGTGCCTGGCCCACTGCAGCCGCTGTAAGGGTCTCATCTCCTTAGCATGTGACTCTTCCTAGCCAGGCCTGTCCCTACATTTTGTTTTCATAGCGTATGCTTTAACTACTTGCTGCCTAGTGTTGTGGTGGTCCCTCTCATAAGCATCTTGTCTCTTTTCAGTCTTTCTCGTCTTTCAAGGCCTATTGTAGTTCGTCCTTTCTGTAGATCCATGCCTCCATGGTGCCTTGCAAATACTGACTGGCATTCACACATTCCCTGTATCCGTATACGTCCCTTTTGTAGAGGTCAGGTGACTTCTGTAACCCAGCACCTGATCTTGGGTCTGTTCCACAGCAGCACATGGACAGGTGGGTGGGCATGGCGCTGCCCACCTCCCTTCTCTGAAGTTCTCTGGTGAGTTCATCGGGTCCTTGTCAGCTGAGCCACTCAGTTGAGGCAGTCTAAACAGGAACTGCCCGTGCTTCTCTGAATGTGCTCTCTTTCCAGGTGCAGTTAGAGAGGATCCGGCAAGCCGACTCGCTGGAGAGAATCCGGGCCATTCTGAACGACACCAAACTGACAGACATTAACCAGCTCCCTGAGACATGACCTCCAAGGGCAGGTTGTCAGCTTGCGCTTTGGGTTTTTAACTCATGTAGAGCAACATTACTTATTATTTAACTCCTAACTGAAGAAACGTCACAACAGAAAGGCGACTGAAGGAATGCTTATTTCTCCTGGAGGAGACTGTGTAGCACAGGCCCAGCACATTGGCAGGGAGATCCGCTCTGAAGACCTTTTGGACGGGCACACTAATGAGGTAGTGGACGCGTTGCCAGCCAGTGGGCAGAGGCTCGGATGGTGGCGATGGAAAAGTGCTGTTTCCTTACCTGCTTTCTCCAACATAGTTTCCTGGAACAACACATTGCTCAATCCTAAAGCAACATCCAAGAGAAAGCCTTTGGAGTTTTCTATTCATACATATTGGGAGAGAGACTTTTTTTTCTGTTGTCTAGTACTCATCAGTAACAGTATTCAGCTAGCAGACAGAGGTGTAGTATGCTGTATGAATATTTTATATTAAAATATAAAGTGTGAGAGCAGGCCATTGGCTAGTGACTGGATTTCCTAGCTCAGTACTCCCCTTTGTCCCCCCAAACCATTTTAATTTGCCTTGGAGGACCTTAAATGCTACTGAAACTTGCCCGGGAAGTCTGTGGCAAGCAAAGCCAGCTCAAGAACCGAGTGGATGGTGAGAATTGAGAAACGTGGTCACTGCTGTACGAATCGGGAGTTGAGGTTAAGGAAAAGCACAAGAGACTCTGCAAGCACTCTTTCTGCACGCCTGGCTGATCTTCACAGGCCCACAGGTACTAGGGCAACGTGGGACTGCACCATCTACTCTGTGTGGAAACTTTTTAGTTATCCGATCAGTGGAAAAAACATTAATAAACAAGCTGTCTGACAAGTACACATTTATAAATCTGCTTATTTTCAACTTGGATCAATGGGCTTGGGCACTGTTGGTTTCAAAGTGTCAAACAGAAAAATGGTGATAACCGGGTTTAACTGATACCTTTTCTCTTACGGTTTAGACTTGGGAGTATGAATAATAATGCTTGTGGAAAATAGTATTTGGGGATGTGCTGTCATTTCCGGTAGTTAGCTTCCTTTCCTGCGTGAAGAAAAACCCCAGAAGAAGGGGTGACCATTGCCATAGCTTTATGAGGTGTTGCAGGTGGCGACGTGTCACTTACCTCTGCGGTACTGTCCTCAGGAACAGCCACACAGATGGCTCAAAGGTGAAAGTGTTTTCTAAGATTTTTTTGTGACAGCATGGTACTTGAAGGAACCTTATTGGAATTAAGTAGACCAAGTAGACCATTTGATTCATTTAAAGTCATCAACTTAAAAAGTTTGAGTTCCTAAGTATAGACTTTGCCTGCCTTCTTTACATGTCTTCCGTAGAACAAGTGATAAAGACTATATACCTCACCTCTTGGGTTCCTGAGAGTTTTGCATTCATGACTATGAACTTAACTAATCATGGAAATAAGTTGTCATGCATGGCACTATTATTTTAGTTGGTTTAAAGTCCTCATTGAGTTTCATTAACTTTAATTCCCAAATGCAATCCATTTAAGTTAGATGTTTAAGGCTAGTCCCTTGGATAGCTGCTGTTCCCCCAATCCCTATTGTATCTTGTTATTAAAGTCAACACCATGAATCAGGACAGACTATTCTACTTTTTCTGAGTTGGCTGGCACACAGCTCTGTGACCTCACAGCTAGTTTTCTGCAAAAGATGGCTCTGCGGCAGTCATCCCTGCTAGGGAAACTGTAGAGATCGCCCCATGGATACACAAGCGCGTAGAGCCCACATTATTGAAAAACAGCCTAGAAAAACCCAAGCTGAGATGAAGTTTTGCTAACAGTTGGTTTCAGGTATGACAGCTATCAGTGTTTTAACCTGGGCATCCTGCACAATTGAACACAGACTCAGGAAGGTCTGGCCATTCTAAACAAGATCAGCTGGGTTTCCTTGAGTGTCCCTCGGCTTGAATGCAGTCTGTATACATGTTCTCAGCATGCCTAACGTGATTTCACCTCTCACCTGTAACCATCTTTCCTATGTGGCTTTAAATTGGTTGTCTCTCAGCCATTGCTAGGCAGGTAAGGTCCTACCTTTCAGAAGTCATGTTGGCAGCTGGGAAAGATCACTCAAAGCTAACCGAGGAGGAAGGCAAGCCATTTGTTTCTTCGAGGCCCTAAATGTGAGCCTCCACCCCCACCCCCTTCAACCCCCCCCACTCACAAGTACTCGGACACGGAGCATAGGCACACTCAGTTCTGAAAGGTGGCACTGCCTGTTGGGGAAGTGATCCTGCAGTGGCTTTGCAATTGTGGGTCTGGAGCACTGCTTTGTGCAGATTTCAGGTGTAAACATTTGTTCACTATACTGAAGGTGTGTCTTAAGCGGAAAGTGTTCAAATTAAAAAGCTGCTACCTAGTACCATGTGTGGCCTTTTCCTTTGACTCCCCAAGTTCTGCCCTTCTTTGGAATCGCCTGCTTTAAATACAGCTGCCACCTGCCATTCTGTTCTTGCTCAAATAAAACACAATGTCATGGAAATTGGGCAGTGTGCAACTAAAAGTGTGTCTGAGGTTTAAATTTACAAAAACAAAACAACCATGTAAGCAGACCTTTGAGTATAATTGTAGCCTTGAACTGTACAGCACATTCCAATTCTTAAGTCCAAACATTTCATCAATGACTAAAAACAAGTATAAAGAAAAGTGATAAAACAAATGATAAAGATGAGTGACCACACCAACATTCACTCAAACTGCTGCTGCTTTATAAATTAGATGTTTGTTTTACATACAATGCAGATTCCACCTCTCGCTGTGTTAACATATGTCATCATGGGAGTATCAGAAGTTTACGTGATTTCGGATATCATTGATTTGCTTCACCATCTCCCGTATGTGTTCACCCCTGTGAAAATAAGAATATCGTTCACTCTGGGGACACAAATCAATGGATTCGTACGAATTTAAACTAGGAATACTGAAATAACATAGCAGTGCTTGGCTTCATCAATTTGTGCATGTAAGGCACGCTTTAAAGGCTGCAATTGTGGTGCAATAGCTGGCAATATTTTTGAACATAAGTCACTGGGGGATAGTTAGGGCACACAACAAACTTGTCTTACAAAAAATAAACCATTTTGAATCTTTCCATGTTAATTTCCATTTATCATAGGGCTCCCATCCCAGTAATTACTTGACATACAAATGCCATGACAGGGTTGCTTATCTGACGAGCTCCCTCTAGTGGCTGGCCTGGAAGTACCAACTTACTCTTCCTTCAGGATGGACTGGATGCACTTTCGCTGATAGGCACTGAGAGAAATGGTGGCTTTTTGAGGACTCAGAATCTTTTCCATCTTCCGTTGTTGATAGTCCTTTTTCATAGTGACCTTAAACAGAACAGAATCTCCTGGTGATGGCCTGCCATAAAGATTTGTTATATCTAAGTCACTTTACTTAAAAAATCCTTTCGACAGAACAAGCTAGTTAAAACAAAAACCTACACCGGGCTGCTTTGCAGCCATCCCTAAGGAACTCTGGTGGCACAGTGAGTTAAGCAGTGGACTAACCACAAAGTCAGTTCAAATCCACCAACAGCTCTGCAGGACCAAGATTAGGATGTCTGCTCCTGTAAAGATGTAATCAACGCAGCAGTTCTACTTTGTCCTATAAACTTGCCAAGAGTCACAGTGGACTTGGATGGCAAGGGGTTTGGGTTGTCTTCACTCCTACCTGTTTGATGGCATTGCCCAAATGTCTAAGTTGATCAGGTATTAGCTGTAACTCTTTCTTCATGTCTCTCTCACTATCAGAAAGAACTGGGAGCTGAGAGTGAAAACTGTGCAGCACTTGTTTCATCCTATAAAAAAAGGTAAGCAAACATCTCGGCACAGGATCTCTGCCAACAAGTGTATGCAGAATCACAAAGCAAGCTGCTACTTCACGGATCTAGCATCTGTGGAGAGCCGCACAGGTGGGGTTGAGGGATGCAATACAATCCCCAAAGGGGGAAAGAAACACTTCTGTATGCACCTCAACATCAGCTATACGCCCATTTTCCTTACAGTACCAGAGCTAATAAATAACATGGTTAGTATGGAATGAAGGAGCTCTGGTGGTGTAGGGGATTAATTAAATGCATTGGGCATTTGAGCCATGGGGTTTGTTGTTCAAACCCAACCAGCTGCTCTTGAGACAAAAAGAGGCGGCTGTCTGCAAGATTGACAATGTTGGAAACCCAAAGGGACAGCTCAACTTGATGGCAACGAGTTTGGGATTGCATGATATAAAGTACTAAATCTTAAGCAACCTACTGACCTGTTCATGATATCTTCTTGTTTCTCTTTAGCTTCCTCATATTTGTCAGCAAGGCGCTCAGCCATTTCCCGAAGACTTTTTCTAATGACATAAAAAGCAAGACTCTCAGGGTCCACCTTAATCATCAAAGCAATGGATTAGTTTAGTATTTTAGTGCGCGAGAACATTACTCCCACGTTGTGGCACTCACCTCTCCTCTCGGCAGTAACGGAGATCTTCTAGCTGTTTCTTTTTTTGGTCACACAGTAATTTGACTCTTCAAGAACAAGAAAGAAAAGTTTGTCAGAGCCCAGGTTTGCAGCATTACATAGTACCAACTGCCCACCCAGGGCAATGACGGTGAAAAGGACTAGTGCTTTCGAAGGGTTATTATACCTCCGCTGAATCTCCTCCTTTGCCAGGTCCTGTTTAAGGATGTACTGTTCTCTGAACACCTGGGTGGCTCTGCTAATGAGCTGAAGACATTCTTCAGGAGGAGGAGCCATATCCTTTTCAGACGACCTAAAAGAGAAAAAAAGGTCTTATTATCATTTACCTTACCTTCATAAAACAACTGAAAAGAGCTGTCCCTTTCCTTTGAATCACGTCAGTTGATCTTTCTCAGCGTCACTTTTCTCCCTCCTCACTAGCTGGTTAAATGCACCCTATGTTCTTGACCCCATGAGACAGGGCAGCCAACAATAACGTTTCTTCCAACGCCACATGGTAAATCCCATACTTCAAAAATGCCGGATTGGCCACACTGCGTTGTAAAATGCTTCTAATATGCTTTTCAAATGAATCCGGTGTATCAGCCAGAATCCGGAGGGGAGAGTCCGCCACTTCAACATCGTCTTGGGTACAGAGCAAGGGAGGAGATGCTGGATGGACTGTGCTTCTGCAAACAAATGCATAAAAACACACATAAGTAAAACAGTGAAGTTGTTTTCTGTAAATAAAAGGAATCATAAGCCACCTCGTTTCTTCCAGAATTTCATGGTTAGAGAAGATACAAGAACGTGCGTTTTCTGCTCTGAAGAAGTCAGAAGTCACCTTGGGGAACTCAACCCCATCCCACCATGGCTGCCTTTGTGATTGCACTTTGGCCTTTGCCACTTCAGTTCTTTTGAAAAGATCAAAGATGCATAAAATAAAATTTCATCATAGATGCTTTGCAAAGGATCTGGGAGCCAGTTTATAAGCCACATAACCACTGAACAGAATATGTTTGGTTCTATAAAACTTGTTTTCTAAAAACTTGATCCACTCAAAGACAGAAATTCAAAAACAATCCCAGGAGGAACTTGAAAGATATTGCAAACCTTGACAATATGGTAAAGTGACTTATATTTGAACTTTTGAAGGCAACACTTCACGTTTGGATATTTATTAAGCAATAATAGGGAGTTTGCAGAAAGATTATTGAAGGTATCTCATGTTTACCTGGAGCCCCGATGAAGCGAGTTGGTGGCACACTGGGCTACACACTAAACTGCTAAACACAAGGTCAGCAGTTCAAACCCACCAGCTACTCCATGGGAGAAAGATGAGGGTGTCTATATCAAAATTTAAAGTTCCAGAAACCCAAAGAGGCAAATCTTTCTAATTTGCACTAGATGGCTGCTATGCATACAAACAATGACTTGATGGTAGTAAGCTTGTTTGTTTAGGAGGCCTGGCTGTCAGGTGTAGTGGTTACACGTTGGGCTGTGTTCTGCATGGTTGGCAGTTCAAAACCACCAGCAACTCCTTGGGAGAAAGACTGGGCTTTCTACTCTTTAAACAGTTACAGTCTGAGAAACCTACAGGGGGGTTCTCCATGGGTTAGTATTGACTCTGGCAGTGAGTTTGGTTTTGGTTTGATGGTGAAGTGTCAGATCTCTTAACTACAAGGTCAGCAGTCAAATCCACCTGACACTTCTTGGGAGAAAGATGAGACTATTTGCTCCTATAAAGATTTAGTCTTGGAAACCCTACAAAGGGTCATGATGAATCAGAACTGAGTTGCTGGTAGTGGGTTTGGTTTTTTATTTAGTCATCCCAAGCCCTCAGATTCATGTTTTTATTCGGAAGTAACCTAGTATGATGAAATCTTTTTAGCTAAAGATAGTAAGTTTTAAAAAATGTTGACGTAACAGGGTAAAAGGTTTGGGAAAGGATTAGTCTTGCTAGAGTTTTTAGTCTTAAGTATAAAAAATACGAAACTGGTATTTATTTGTTTTGCCTTCCAAATAAGGTAATTTGTGAATCTTCAAAAACTTGGAAGGTCCTCTGAGGACAGTAAACTAATGCCATTATTCTGAACTTCTGTCAGGGTCCAGAAGCACAGGCATTGAATTGACAGCACGAGACTAAGGAGTCTGGCATTCAGTGCTCAGTAGCTGGTGGCTTTGATACTCCTATTCCTTCCTGTTTATAAAAACTCAAAAAGCCACCTTCCAAAAAGAAGTCTGTTGTTTATCATGTAGTAACTGTGTCCCTTAGGAGGAAGAAGAGTTGAGTTGTTATGTACTACCTGTCACCCAAAGAGTTTGCACATTCTATTAAGCCCCTACCTACTATGCAGTGCCGGTGGCATAATGGTTAGAAATTGAGCTGCCATCCACAAGGTCAGCAGTTTGAAACCCCTAGCTGCTCCCTGGGAGAAAGACAGGATTTCTACATAAAGAGTTACAGTCTCAGCTATCCATAGGGGCTGTTCTACCCTGTCCTAACTCATAATGTTGCTATGAGTCAGAATCAACTCAATAGCAGGAAGGTTTTTTTTTTGTTGTTTGGAGGCTGCCAGAGATGGAGAAATTAAGAATATGGGTGTGGGCCTTATATTGAAAAACTTGATTGTGAAACCTGCTTTACTACCTGCTACCTGTGACTTCAAGCCTTGGCGGCCTGTTTCCTCTTCTATAAAGTTGGGGATATTACCAGTGCCTTCCCTATAGGGTTGCTCTGATGGCTAGAGGAGAATGCAAGTGAATGGCTTGGTTTTAAGTCTGGCACATATTAAGAGCTTAACAGCCATTAAATCGAATCTCTATTAATGCAGTTTGGTCCTTATTTTTAGTATTGCTTTCCACACTTTGAAGAAAAGCTCTGGACTCTCAGCTAGTTGAAGTAGATACCAGAAATTACTCTTAAAGAAAAACTTAAGAGATGGCCAGCATGTAGCTGTAAGTCAGCTACCACTGAGGGCATTTTCCCATGTTAAGAGTTGATTCCCTGCAGAAAACCAGAGTTGTGTGAGGAATACTAGACAGGACTTACAATAAAGGTCTTATGAGGCATTCATAGGTACTGGTGATGCAGATCATCGTGGGCCCCAGAATGTCAGGGACGATCCAGAATCCTCGAATCGGAGCAGGTTGCCTGGGGAAAACAATCAGTTATGTCACAAAACAGGAGCAAAGGCATGACAGGCTCACAGCCACCTCAGGCCCAGGCTAACAGTTACGTGGGACATGTTATCTTTTCATGTAGTAACCCCAAATGTGATGTGGAAGCCAGAAGTAGCTACAGCTGTCACTCTGTAATCCAGCAGACTACAGCCAGGCAGGACGTGAGCCGGAAGGTGCTCCCTGCACTGTCAACATTCACCATGGAATTCACTCTTCACGTGTCTCCTCAACTCATGTGTAACCCCAGCCATCTTTGTGGGCCTAGCTCAGTATCCAACAGGTTAACAGCCCAGACATCTGCTGACTGAACCAAACAGTCTAGTTCACATTAAAAATTTAATGAACCCTCTGGCCTAGGACTTATTCTAGTGTGCAGAGCACATGTCTCTTGATCAAGCTTGTGCTCTGAAGAAACAAACCGGTGCGCCTCATCTGGGATTGTCATCACACTACCTGCTCCCAGGCTTCCTCTACCCTCCCCAGACCTCATGGCACATGCTGCCATCTCCATCTCCGCGTAGACGCTCGGCTGCTTCAGAGAGCTCTCCCTTGGCCCTAGAAACAAGCTCTGTCTGCTCCGTCCGAAACACTTCCACTGTCAGTTCAAGACTCCCATCCCCATTCCTTTCTGCCCTTTAGAACCAGCCATCTACAGTATCATGTCCTCTTCCTTGTCTCCCATGCATTTAAGGAGGGGAATCTGGGCAGTTTTTACATTTTTGTCTTTTCATGTGAAGGCTACATATAAAAGAGTATGTGCACACCGATCCCTCATACTGTGCGCTGTGGGTCCAATGACCACCTAGAAGGCCAGTCTACACTACACTCCCCTGGCTGCTGTGCTCGCTGCCTTCTTTCTGGAACAGTTCTCCTGACAGGGTCCCAGGTGGCCCTCCAGTCTCTATGGCAACTGTTTTCTGATTTCCTTTGGGCTGGGCCCTGCTTCCTACATTCACTGCTTATAACCAAGTACCGCTCATACCTCTTAGGTCTCTTCTGCTCATTCTAGACCCTTCCTTGGGTAAACTTCATCATTCAAGCACCACACCGTTAAGACACCTCCACTTGGATATCACAGAGCATTCAACTCCGAATGCTCCAAAAATGAACACATTTGTTCCCCCAAATCCACTTTTCTCCTGGGTGCCCATTTCCCTGAAGGTACTACCACCCAATGAACTACTACTTAGTACTCACCTTCTGGTCAAACCAGCTTTATATCACCCACCAAATGACTGGGCAGAGCTATGCAAACATGAGGTACTTGTGGCCCGCCACGGGGATTCGATCATGTAAACAAGGGTACACGGCACCTTGTGGGGGTGGGTCCATGCAAATAACTTATATGGAACCCCAATAAAGGGATTGGCTAGTTTTACTATTCTGTTAGGTTAAAATGAGCCATCCCAGAGGCAGAAGGGGAGATCTCACTATTATTCAGAAAGAAGAGTCTGGAGTACAGAACACCCTTTAAATCTGAGACCCCTGAGCTGACCCGCCTTCATCCAGGAGACAGCTGCGCCGCCAGAGGGGCAAGAGACAAGCAACTGAGTCTTTTCTGTGAGTTCTGTGTGGCCATTGCAATGAACCTCTGACCCCAGCAGGGAAGCAGAGGATCATGGAGGGATAGTGTCAGAAATGAGGAAAAGGTTGGAAGCCATGGCCTCCGCCTCATAGGGATCCACCTTAGGTTAATGCGAACAGTGACTGTCCTGCCCACTTGTGAAGCTGGAAGTCAGATGCCACCCCTATGTCGTGATCACATGGTCCCTGTCAATCTAGTTACAGAGGGAGAAACCTGGAAGGATTCCAGATACCCTCCATCCCCCCTGGTTCTATTCACCTAACATCGACACCGAGAACAGACACGAAGCTCACCGAGCAAACGTGCCCTCTGTCCTCATGAAATGCGTGTGTTCTGGTAGGGGGACCCAGACAAAAGCCAGGCAACAAAGAAAAAGAGAAAAGTAATAGAAAACTAACTTAGACCAGACACTGAGGGCCATCTCAGAAGCAGTGACATTAAGACCAAGAAGAAGAGTACAAGTAAGCCAGGTGAGGACAGCCAGTTGGGGCTGGAGGGGGATAGCTTCTAGAGACAAGATATAATATACTGAGAGGTCTTGACATATAAAAGAGCTTCTGATATACATTTCACGAACACTTCTGGGGGCAGAGTTACATATCTGCAACTTTGAAAGAATTCACATATCATCTGTACGGGAGTTCAATATATCTAAATTACGGTAACGAACCACTGCATACACAAGAAAGCAAGTCCTCACCTGCATGGCAATGGCTTTGTACAAAGGATATGTTCCACAAAGCATTTCTGTTCTGTACCAAGTTCCTGTAAACTATCCTTATCTTCTTCATCTACAAAAGAGTGTCATCTATAAATTAGCTGATATTGGGTCAAAATGTTCATATTATTTAAATGCAATCAAATTCTTGTGTCAGAACTTAAAAAAAAAATGGTTTACTATTATTTGGGTGAAAGTTTACAAATTGCTTTCCAGTCCACAACCTTGACTCTAGTCCCCACACTGTAACAGCACAATTCCTCCTGTGTTTCCAGTTTCCAGTCCACCTTCTTCCCTGTTCCTTCCAGCCTTCGGCAAATGCTGACTTTGATCAGCATGGCTGGTTGTCTGAGGAAGCGCAGCAGCTTCCCCTGGTGTGACTGTTTGCCTCATAGGCCTGTCTTTTGTTTGGCTGGAAGTTGAACCATGAGGTCCCATTGTTTCTGAAGGAGTATGTCTTTCTGTCACAGAAATCTTTTCCCCCTAAAATTTAGATTTAGCTCCCAAAAGGTTTTCCTCGGCCAGCCAGATTCCAAAATGTAAAAGTGGTCACTCAGGAGAGCAATTCCAGAATCATTTCCTTCCATGGACTCTTCTACATCCAGGATTATTTTTTTAAGTAACAGCTTTGTTGAGCTATAACACCTATTACTAAATTCTTCTGAAAGCATTCAATGATTTTCTATTCAAAGCATAACTATATGACACACAATGTGTTTGACTATCTTCAGATTCAAACTGCAAAGAGACACCACACCCCCGAGCAGCCAGTGCTCAGTTGTCAGGGACGTCTCCACCCCCAGGCAACCACAGCCTACTCCTGACTCTCTGGCTTTTGCTGAGTTTAGACATTTTCTAAAAATGGAGCTATACAATACATAGCTTTTTGGGTCTGGATTCTTACATTTAGTATATTTTTGAGGTTCCTGCATGTTAGAGTATGTACCAGTATTACATTCCTAGTTGAATAATATTCTGTGGTATGGCTACACAATATTGTCTATTTATCAGTTGATGGACATCTGGCTTATTTCTGCCTTTGGGCGATTATGAATAATGACGCTATGAACATCTCTTTGGGCATGCATTTCCATTTTTTCCTTTATATACCTTGATATAGTTAGCAGTGGAATTGCTGAGTTACTTTGTTTAACCATTTGAGGAACTGCCAATTTTTTCCATTGTCCATTCCCACAGATACTGTATGAAAATTCTACAACATCTTATTCCTGTTTACCTAATTTATGTTAATCATCCTAGTGGGTATAAAGTAGCATCTCAATTTATTTTTAAATTGCATTTCCTTGCTGGCTCTTTGTACAGCTCTTCCGGATATTTACTCAGACCCCTTCCTATTTTTAATCAGGCTTTTAATAAGGTCTCAGAGTCCTTTGCATATTCGAGATACCAGTTGCCGCTGAGTCAATTCTGACTCCTTGTAAACCTATGATATAAGCTCCGTATCAACTCCTAACTAAAGGATTTAAAAAAAAGCATAGAAAAAAGTCCCACTAACACTTAATTCTATTTTCCAACGAAGCCCCTCAAATATAATTTGAAAATATGTGCTCCTATTCTGTAGGTTGTTTTTACATCTTCTAAATGAAAATCGAAGTACAAGATGTTTTAATTTTGATGAAATTCTATTCATGTTTTCTTCTGTCATTTATGCTTCTGGTATCAGGTTTAAGAAACCACTGTCTAGTCCAAGGTAATAAAGATTATTTACTAAGTGTTAAGAGATTCACAGTTTAAATTGTTGTATTTAGGTTTCTGATCTATTTTGAGTTAATCGGGGCATGTGGTAGGAGTCCAGTTTCATTCCTCTGCATGTGGGTAACCAGTTGTTCCAACATTACTCGTTGGAAAGACTGTTGTTTTCCCATTAAACTGCCTTAGCGCCCTTGCCAAAGTCCAGTGACTGCCTTGCGTTCTGGGGATAAAACCCACTGGGTCTTGCTGGGGATCTTTTTCATACAGCAGTGGATTCATATTGCTAGAATTTTTTGAGAATCTTTGTAACTATATTCATAGGAAATACTGGTTTGCAATTTCCTGCTCTTGAATGTCACTGTCTGGTTTTAATATCAAGAAAATACTGACCTCATAAAATGAATTGTAAAGTGTTCTCCTATTTTGAGGGGCAAGAATTTGTAAAGAACTGGTATACTAAATTTTCTTTTCAGTGTGAAGTCATCTGCTTCTGGACTTCTCTTCGACCTCTTCACTTCTGATAGGTCTACTCCGATTTCCCAGATTTCTGATAGGTCTA